ACCGACCTGATCGTGCGAGAGCTGCTCAGGCTGGGGCTCTCTTCGGATGATCTGGCGAAAGTCCAGGCCTCGGTTGCGTTGCAGAACCGAGTGGGCACTATGCAGAATCAAGTAGCCGACAAAAGTGAATTGTGAAAGGTTTCAACCGCATAAACTGGCAAAACTGTACATGCAAATATTTTCCCGAAATAATATGAGCAGACTTCACGATAACATTGCAGTCCAGCCGGGATGAGAATAACTGTAGGCAAAGCAAGGCTATGTGAGATGAATGACAATGGAAACATCAACTCTACTCACCAGTCCTTCATCAACTTAAACGAAATTGGCTGAATACATCTCATACTACTGATTTACTGGTAGTCTCAAAACTCTACTTAAATACGAAAAATAACATTAAGTTGCCCAACCAAGTCATAAGTTTGAAGTCTGGGGAGAGGAAGATTTGCAGGAACTGGCATGGGCATCATCTGCTCTAAAGCCTCGAATAAAGACGTAATCGAGAACGCGAATTGAAGGCTCTCAGACAGCCAAACAGTGGTTTTGATCGAAGGTATGAAGACCAAGATGGTGTGGCCTTTTGTCTGGTGGCAGTTGGAGTGTGAAGGTGTACAAATTGTAGCAGTGAAAGTGTGATTGGAGGATATAGGAAATGTAAATAGCCCAGGACAGAAGGGGAGATACAACTATTGTTTAGCACACGTTTGGTCAAAGGATGGGCTTCACTTGTCTCTTTGACGAGTTGTTGTGTGGTGCTATGAATGGCATTACTCACTGACGATGCCGGCGAAACGTCTGATAATATACCGCGTCCACGGTCCGACTTTGGAAATGATGATGCATACAATGAACTCCGGACTAGGTGTGTTCCTCTAAGTCTTCCTACCAACATGACCATGTTGCGAAAACAAAATCAAACAACTTTTATGCAACGAAAGGATACTGCGACCACACAAAAGGCCACACCATCTTGCTATTCATACCATGTTTAGTAAATTTCATTAGCATAGTAACAAGAAAATTGAACTAATTATAGTATTGTATGAAAATTCAAAGATAAACACCAAATTTTATTCGGAATATTTTCAAAGTTTTAAAGCCTGACGACTAGCAAACCTCATTCTTGGGAGATTATACTTACTCGACTCGTAAATTGGGAGAACCCTCTACAAAGAAAGTGAAGGAACAACACGTGAACAGCACAATTATCAATGTTCCTTACATGTCAAGTTAAAGAGTCATTAAAGTGATGGCCAAATGTCGTTTTCACAGTATTGGCGTATCTGTAATTTTGTTTTTGGTGGTGATTCAAGAAGATTGGTATATTGGCTTCAACCGAATTTGCCAGACCGTCCGAAACGTTTGGGAATGTACCACGTCCACGGTTGGACTTTGGAAATGATCATGCATACAATGGACTCCGGACTAGGTGAGTTCCTCTAAGTCTTCCTACCAACATGACCAAGTTGCGAAAGCAAGTTCAAACAACCTCTAGTGCTTTTGACGCTTAGCAGCAACCAATTGACAAGTGGGGTAGGAGGAAATGGGGGCTGAATGAAGGTCAGGTCTGCAACCGGCATCTGGTCCGGTGTTGGATTTGTAGAGACACACTCTTAGGCGGCATTGGGGAAAACGAGAGCCGAGAATGTTGTGAATATGTAACGGGGCCATATGAAGTGGGGTTGAAAGAAAGAGGCGCAGCAAAAGAAGGAACGACAAAAAATGGGGATTGTTTTCACTTGTCACTTTAATAAGTTGTAAGTCTGTGCTTACGATGGCGACTCTCACTGACAATGTCGGCGAAACGTTTGGGAATGTACCAAGTCGATGGTCAGATGCTGAATATCACGAATACTATGACACAGAGCACGTTAGTGGATACGCTACACAAGGTCGCCGTGAAACTACGACTGAGATGCGAAAACAAGGTGGAACCAACTCGAATTATCCACTGTTGTACCAGTTTTTACCCTACTGCATTTAAAATGATAAGGGATTTTCAGTTGCATTCTCTCCATTAAATTTCACACAAATTCGCCTCCAAAAAGGTATTCCCTATTTAGAACAATAGAGTGAACACATTTCTTATTCACGAATAAAAGTTGGGCTTCGAGGAATCTCTTGTTTTGGTTCTAATGATAGTCAATTCTATGTACTTTTAGCTCACTCTTTCTCTCTCACATTGAGACCAAAAACAAAAAAAGGCTCATCAACAAAGCCAAACGAGTGTCCGACCGTGCGCAATCGGAGGGATGTCTATAACTTAAATAAAGAAAGGGGGAGAGAGGGGTCATCAAAACCTTGATGGCCCAAAACAGACGTTCCTTTTTAATGTCCGAGTTACTCTGAACCATCACTACGGGTTTTGTGCATAAGCGAACACAAACAGGCACATACACACACAGAGACAGACACACTCACAGGCATCGAAGTTGATATATGACCGTAACTAACCAAATCACTTTATACTTTATCAGAGGCCAGATGTAGAGTATAGATACCACTTTTTAGGCATGTGTCGATGAGTTTTCTTGACTCGTTAGCTTCAATTTTGTTGTGACGATGATACTCTTTTTGCTCTGATGATGTCCGTCACATGACGCACGTAAGCTCAGCACCTTTTCACCGAAATCGAAAGAGATTGCCTCGGATACAACGTCAGCATGAATGTTCCAGTAAAGCCAATCGACGGCTGGTCAAGAGCAATCCGCCGTCGTCTTCTGGTGGAAGCGACCTTCGAATCTCTTCACGCAACACTTTCACTCGAAATGAAAGTAAGCTCTACTGGTAGTCTCGAAGGCCTGCTTGAAGGCGAAACTTGTGTCTCTCTATTGCGGCATCTAAACTTGATAATGTTAACTCTCTTCTGAGCTTGCATGTTTGTACTCATGTTCTGCTGGCTTCAACAAAATGTTTACTTCCACTGTTATGGTTGCCATCTTCGCTTTACTTGGGCTAGTTTGTAACCTAAACAGCCTCCAAATACGTTTACTTGATTCGGGAGCTTGGCAACCTAAGCTTGGTCTGTAGCTGCAGACCCTAGCGATGCCGAATTGGTCTAAACTGGAACCGATCTGACCTCGTGTTAGGGGGATCTCAAAGAGCCTATCTTATCTGACGTCCTTTGTCAGAGTAATGGTTACTTATAGAGTCTGACCGTCGACTTGTTACATTTTCAGAAGTCTCGCCGGCATCCTAGTTGACATTGCCAGTAAGCCTTGTAATTCACAGGCGCGATCTACAACTAGTTTGATGCTGAGAATGACAAGTTTAAATGACGATTCCGAATAGGATGCAAAGAAAATACCTGACATCTTTCGTTCATAAATAGGCTTTCGAGACTACCAGTAAAACAATCATATAAGATGTATTCACACCATTTCGTCTAAGATGGTGAAAGACCGGTAGTTGAACTTTCCCACAATTGAAAAACAAGCAATGCAGTCAATTGCCATGGCAACTATAACTTTGCTTCATCGACAATCCCACCATAGAATATGATATGGGAAAATGCATGACCTTCCTTGGAATTCACATCTGCCCTGTGGTCCAAGGGCACTCGTGGCAATGCGGAGTAGTAGTTAACGTGTCGAGATTACACGCCGCACTGCCATAGTTCGAGTCCCGCTGGGGATGTTGATGAGACCAGTTCAGATGAGGTCAAAACTGCCTGGATGAGGTGACCTTCCGGGAAAGCAAGGCCATGTGAAATTGAATGGAGAAGTCAGCTCTACTCATATGATTGTGAGAAAATTCAACTACCAGTCCTTCATCATCTTAAGCGAAATAGGGCGAATACATCTCATATACAATTTCTGGGAATTTGACAAGTCCATGGGTCTACACTAGAAATTGCCATGAATATTATGACAAAGGACGTCAGACAAGAAAAGCTTTTAGAGATCGTCCTGTCACCACGAACAGGATGTGAAAACGGGGTGACCCCAATTCTAAACAGCGAAAGGAGATTACAATCAAAATAGAGGTCACATCATCTTAATTTTAACACCTACGATTCACATGCAAATACTTAGAGTTGACCAGAAAAACCCTGCATGCATTAGGACCAAGCAATCTGACCAGTTTTGAAATTTATCAGTAAATCTTGAATAAGAACTTAAGTTATCCTATTTTGCTTAAGTTGAGTTAAGAAATGATATTGAAGCTATAAACAATGAAATAATTGAGCCATTCAATTTTACTTAATCTCGACTTTCAAAATAGTTTCTCACCAAACCTCTATTGCAAGTAATGCCTTCTTCTCCTCCTCATTATCATCATCATCATTAGCGTGAAAAACGAAAGTATTTGAAATTGGATGGTATGCATAAAGTGCTGACAGTTGACAACTCCACCACACATCTACGAGTGCCAATAGGTCACCGGGAAAATGCGACTTTTAGGGCAAGCCAAACCTCTCCCAGGTTAAATTTGTAGTCGAAGTGGCAACATGTAGTCGCAGTGTTCATGACTGGTTCTCGAACCCAGCTGGACTGCTGATGAGAGGAAGAGGTGAGACTAAAACCGCAATCCAACCTTGGAAGGAGAGGTTAGGTGAAATTTAAAGGTACCATGAAATTGCAAGAAATTTCACCATCCGTCTCCAACCCGCTTTTTTTTTAATTTTTAATAACCTTTGAGGGAAATTTTGCTTATACCAAATATCTTCTGATAGCCGAGTTTTATTTTGGTAGGTTACCCAGGCCTAACAGCAAGCAACAAGTTGTAAGAGATGGTGTTTGCAAATTAAGCAAAATAGGTTTTCACAGCACCTCTTGGTATATCAGTACTGACTTGACTTTCATTTCATATGAAGGCGTTTGATGAAGAGATTTGTTTGTCGATATAACTTAAAGACAACGGAAAAAAGTCCCCTTGGCCTTCAGCTATTTGGTTAAACTGGTACCTTCAGACTGACGCAGTTATCAAGAAACTAGTCGTCTATGTTGCTTGACTCGTACGCTCTGGATTGTTATAAAAAGAGTGGTGATGTATATCAAGGAGCATGAAGGATGAAAGCTTAACAAGTTCACGCACACTTGAAGATGCATACAACTGGACAACTTGGTGATATTCAATCATTTGAGCATCGTCTTGTGCATGTGTGGGTTTTTTTTATCGGATTCATGCTGAGAACCATAAGCAAATTTTGTAACACGCGAACCATTTATGAAAAAAATTCGGTCTTGCAGCGATGAAATTAATAAAACATATTATTATATTACATTTAACCCGTAGTCCCAGAAAATATCTTGTCAAGATTATTTTGTTATAGTCGATCAAAACAGTCTTAGAGAGTGTCCATAAGTTCTTTTTTAGCATAATTTTGTTTTATATAATGAAAAACGCAAGAAAGTATGATTTTCCCTACACAAAATGCACAAGAATTCGGAGCTAGGGCTAAATGCAAAGCATAGACTTAATAAAAAGATTCCTTATGCTTCGAAATTTCTCAAGAAAGGTCAATTAGTATATGATTATGAGACATCAGGGCTGTATATTTAGAAGTGGTGACCTCCATCGAAGTAAATTACCTTTAGGCTGAATAATAACATTGCTGGGGAGACAGATGCATTGTTATGAAAGCTTGTATCGATGTTTATGACTTAGTCAAATCAAAGATATGAGTGATAGTGCATCCAATTTCCATACTTTTATAACATAAAATGAATTGTAGTTTTAATGGCAAAGCACATTTAAACTTTGGGAAACATTGGACTCACTTCAAGGGATTATACTTTGTATGTTTATTAGGGACAAGGTTTTTGGCCAAATCACATCTCGCGGAATCGGTCCGAACGGGGGAGCCGCCATAGCAACCATTTGTTAGCAGGTTGAGGCTTTGCGTGCTGCTGGCCAGCGGAGCGACCATCATTCTGCCAGAAAGCGCGGTTGCCGACGCCGGATACATGTGCTCATCCGCCTCAGATACAGAGCCCAGGCTGTAATTGTGTGGCATAGGGTGTGTATTGCTGAGGCTGTAGTCTTCAGGAAAATGGTCGTTGGAAAAACCAAAAAATTCTGAACGGGCACGGTCACGGTCACGAAGAGATTGATCCAGCAGTCGCCTGCGAGGAGAAATACGATAATGGCAGACTAATTAAGGCAGAATATATTAATGATAATAAAAGTTTTAGAGTAGGTAATAATTCCACTATGCCAGACTGCTACGAGTATCCTTGGATCAGAGGGTAGATGTGAATTTCAATGAAGGCATCTTCCCATTTCAATTCTGTGGTGGAATTGTTGATGATGCAAAGTTATAATTGCTCTAGCAATCAGCTAGACTACTTATTAGTAATATGAGAAGTATTCACTATTTTGGGAAAACAAGGCTTTGTGAAATTCAATGGAAACGTCAGCTCTACTCAT